ATTTTGGGCTACTCCTCTTAAAAGGTTGACCTTTTAAGATGGACCCCCAAATCTTAACACTCCCCAACTCGCAACCTGTACAATATTTCAATGCCTAACAGCTTATTTTCGTAGAATTATGATAAAACATATTTCTATGTATAAATTCTCATTTCATATCATTAAAGACATGGAACAAAACCTGGTACCTCACCCGTCTAGGTGGCAATAGCCTCCCTGCCAACTAGACTGGTGAGGATCACCTTTAAAACTAACTAAAACTCTACAAGATTGAAGAAAAAGAAAATCTCTCAATGAAAATTTAGAAAAAGAAAATCCCTCAATGAAAATAGTAAACATACTTCAAATGCAACCAAATAAAGAAATAAGGCGTACCCCACAACCAGTATCAATGGCGGTTCTGATGGAGCCATCGTTGAGATTGATCAACTTGCCAATATCGTCAATATATGCACCGGCACCATTAGGGAACATGGTGCCCCCACCGGGGAATCTGAAACGGTCACCTTCATATCTGATCCAATTTTGTACGGCCTTCTCCACAGTCAATTCGTTGTGTGGTACATTGGCGTACCACACCAGACCACGGCTGAGCGGCCATTTGAATGGATTCCGGTAGCCGTGGGGCGCCGGTACACGGCACTTGAGAAGTTCATCCTTCTCTGGGCAGTGTCTTTCTCTATATATCAACCTGTCCCTGTCGAATTTCAATGACCTGTTGGTGTCCTCGCAAGGGGTGTACTCGCTGTATTTTATATCGCATGGCGGGTACTTCTTGATAGTTTCTTCAGGGACTGTGGCGGCGGCGGCGCTTTCATCGGCCGAGTGGTGGGTGGCGAAGTCTAGTTCTGTGCTGGTGGTGGAGGTGGATGATGATGATGATGAGTGGGCTTTTATAGTGATGTTTGTAGAAGGAAAGCAAGGGATGGTTGCACGGACAATGGAGGTGGTGGCACCGCTGTGCTGCCAAGCACTAAAAAGATAGGAGAATGAACATAGTATGGTTACAACCGCCAATGAATATAGGCGAGGCTTTTTCCAGTAAGAGGTGGCGGCCGCCGGCGGTTTAGACAGCGGTGTATAGTATGGTGGATTTGGACCCGCCATGGATTGTTTGACATATTCCTCTAGAAAACGTGAGTATTTATAGAAATGTTAATCTTGGAAGATGGACTTTGGGTGAGAGAGGGGTAGGGAAGAAATTCTTTGGTGGCACTGATGTACGTGAAAATGCAATTCCATATAATTCATTCTAATTAAAATAATTATGGCCTATTTGGGAGGGATTAAATTTTTCTACAGTAAATCAATTTTCATTTTCAACCATAAATTCTTCAATAAAATAATATTTTTCATCACATCAATAATTTTTTCTTCTTTTTCAACCACACATTTCCCATCATATCACTATTTAAAATCAATTCTTTCTCCAAAAATCTCTCCCAAACAAGCTCTATGATTACTTAAATTAATGCTCTAACACCATTAATTTTAAATTTCATGGTTCTGCACACTTAATCAATAACAACCAATACATCAGTAATTACATTAAGCCCATGTTTAGCACACATTCTCTTTAATTTTTTTTCTTTCTTCATTTCAACAACACATTCTCCAAAGAATCCTTGAATTTTGTAGAGGCATCATTTAAAAAAAAATATTTCAAATTTAGAACTAATGAAGTGTCTCGTGATTTGACTAAATAATCTTACCACATTTGCATATAAAATTGTCTCATTAAATTTTTGTTTCCTTGGGACGGAGGTGTATCTAGCCTCTAGCAGTGGCTGGTGGGGGTGGGGTGGGGAAAGGGACAAGGAAACCCACGAAGCAGTTTCTTAAAAATTCTGCACCAGTTAAGTACTGTACCAAGTCCACTTCCGAAGTATGCTTATGTATAAAAACGATTTTAATAGGTATGTGAAGAGGAAACAAGCTGGAATGAGAAAATGTGATTGAAATGGTCATTTTTATAATATTTTGGTAGGAATTAAAATCAGATTTTCAATAAATTTTGATAAAAAATTGATAAATTATATGGTCGAAAAGTTGTGAATCCATGAAATATATTACTGAAATTAATCGTTAACTTTGACTTATATTAAAATCTAAATTTTAGTTTCACCTTAATTGTTGAAGTTTGACCCAAATTTTGTTGAATTTTCGGTGGACGTTTGAAGAATTGTATTAGAAGGATCAAAGTTGGACATTGGAGTCTTTGGAGCACTATTTTGGGCACCTAAGCGCTATTCAAAAAGAATAAACTAGTTGGAGCTAAAATTATCTAGCTAACAATTGGCCTTAAGTTAACCCTAACAATTGGCCTTAAGTTAACCCTAAGCACTCATTCCACTTCCATCTCGAAAATCCAACTAGTTTAAACTCAATAATTTTGAAATTTGTTCATTGGATTGAAATTTGGTTCAAGATGGAGATTTGTTGAAGTTTAACCCAAATTTAGTTGGGTTTATGGATGACTATTTGATGAATGTTATTAGAGGGATCAAAGTTGGACATTTGAGTCTTTGGAGGGCCGATTTTGGTGCCTAAGCGCCATTCGGGAAGAATAAATGGATTTTGGATTCGAAACTAAGTGCCCGAGTGCCATTCGAGGCTCTGACTGTCGTTATGTTACACCTCACTCATTTATAGTTAAAGTTAAGTAATTCAGCTAGTCAAAGTCAAATAATGATTTAAGTTGAATAAATTATTTTCATGGGACTTAAATTGTAATTACAAATACTTAAGGGCTAAAATGATATAATAAAGGAAGTTAGGAATTTAGTTTCTATTATGGGAAATTTAAAGACTAAAGGTTATGTAATATGACTTGTCTTGTAATTATTCAATAGTTATCCGTTAAACATTAGACATATCAATCTATTTTCTCATTTTGGGTTCTTCATCCCTCCAATTCCTTCTTATTTTCGAGAGGCAAGTAAAAAGTTTATCTTAATTGAATTTTTAGGGTTTATGAAAAAAATTTGATGTTTAGCAAGAATTAAAGGTTATTGACATGTATTTGGGGTATTAAACAAGAATATATTGAGAAATTGGTGTTGAATAAAGTAAAACTTTGGTAATGAATTTGTGGAATGGAGACTTATTCTTTAGTTTCCTTGTGTTTATATGATATTAAACACATGATTATGATTTATTAGAGTTGGACAATGATTTGAGACTTAATTTTACTTATTCTACCTTATTCTTTTCCAAGTTGTTTTTAAAAACTCTCTCCAGAAGTGTTGTTTTTATCAATGGGTTTGGAGATGGATTTCAATATACAGACATTGGTGACAGATTTCAGTATTTTGGAAACATAGTGCTAGTTTTGTCAATCATCTGATTTTCTTGGATATTTTAGTATGGAAACCAAATAAAGTGTTTAATATTGGTGCTAGGTGTTAAGATAACTTGTATAAAGAAGTATATGTTGTGAGTGACCCTAGCTGGGATTATGACATTGAAAATAAAAGGCTCCAAGTTCTTATTAGTAAATCCTTATTTATAATGATAGGAATAATGCTTGAGGCACCTTTTTGAAGGGATACGATCTCTTGGGGAGAGAGAGAGATATCATACTTGGTATTTGAATGTGAGGAGGTGACGAGAAGATTTAAGTCACGATTAGTTTACAACTTGGTGAGTGGAAAAACTTAAATATTTTCAAGTATTGATAAATTAATTATATTATTTACATTTTATGTAATTATGTGAATTATTTGTCCACTTAAATGAATATTGTGAAATATTCTTTCACTATGATATATTTAAGGAATTTCAAAGATTGTATATGGATTATTTATGAATTGGAATGCATGTGTGATATATGTGATATTGAAATCGACCATAAAAGTGTCTGTGACTACATACTTCTTTTAGTTCACTGAGTGGCCTGGCTGTGTTCTATGCTACATTGAGGAGTCTTGATCATGGATGAAGGGGTCTTGACTGTGTACATATAGTTCACTGAGAGGTCTTGACCGTGTTCTAAAATTGATTATAAGTGAGACTTCTTCCGTTCACTGAGGGGGCCCAAGGCCCTGTGTCGGGAGTGCTTAGTCTGAGGGGCAGTCTATGCGCGTATGACCAGATTAAAGATGATAGTCTATTTTTTTGTGGATTTTAGTATATGATGAGATTATAGTATGAATATCAGCTCATGTTTATATCATGATTGTGGGATGATATTTTACTGTGTTATGAGAATGTCTCACTTCTTGGCTATAATTATATAGTGTTATCCCGTGAATTATTAAATGATATGAACTCGATTTTCGATAAATATGTATAAATGAAAAAGTATGACTATTTAAAAAAATTCTCACTCACTGAGCTATCAACTCATAATTTTTCCACTATTTTTCTTTCAAGTCGCAATTGGTTCTTGATAGCTTGAGGAGCCTCGTGATTTTAGAGTTATAACCATACGACATATTTGCATGATATTTTTCATAAGCATATGATTTTGGCGCATAATTTTTAGTAACTCATAGTCATCTTTGGTGGTGGATCAAGCATATAGTTAGCATCTACCATTGGAGCAAGGGCTGGGCGTGGATTGGGTTGGATTGGCTTTGAGCCCAACCCAAACCCAAACCAATATATTTGGTTTGACTATAATTCGAACCGAAACCAACCTATTCACGGTTGAAACACAACACAAAGGAATTTAATTTATGGGGTGAAGCATTATTGAGTGCATGTAGGATTTTAAATAGAATTCATTCTAAAAACACTAAGGTTTCTCCTTAAGAATTGTGGAAATGAAGAAAACCAAATATTGGTTATTTCAAAGTGTGGGGGTGTCTTCCTTATTGTAAGAACACAAATCCTAATCGGACCCAATTGGATCCAAGAGGCATTAAATGTGCCTTTGTAGGATATGCTAACAATAGCAAATCTTACCGGTTATTGAACT